ACATAGGAAGTATGAATTGTAATCTGTTTCTTTCGGCAACAGCCTGTATTCTGTATGCAATGGCCTCATCTGTGGCTGACCCGTAAAAGCCGCGGAACACTGGTAGTTTGGTCCAAAGCCTCAGGTAACGAGCTGGCTGCATGGGCATTTTCTAATGCACCCAGATCCCTTAAAAAGTCTTTTACCGGGTATCCTTTCCTTTCTGTATAGTACTTACTGGTGGAACATGTAATAAATAAATAACCTTACCAGTGGCCCAGGGAGTAAGACCACTGAATACTTGTAGTTCAGTCTGGGTTGGTTTCAAACCCAGGTGAATGGGCTAACTGCATGTTGGTTTTCTTGAATTTCCCCATGTGTAACATGAATATGAACCAGTTTCCCTTAAAAAGCTCTCGATGAAGGCATTTCTCCTCTTAGGTAGATAGCTCTCATTGCTTTGCAATCTTTAAATAATCTAACCTGTATGCAATGAATACAGAGTGGTGACAAGCTTAGGGATGTGATTCTCCTAGAGTGGAAAAACAAATGTTGGCGAGGACTAGAGAATTAGAAGCATTCCTGCCTGCATCTGAATGTAAGCTCACCAGAGAAGCAATTTCCCTAGGACGGGTTGTGTGAATTTTTAATTATGTAACTTTTAGTATGTATCTTTCCTTTATAACAAAAAAAAAAATGGCACATAAAGAATTTCTTAGTATACAATTGATTTTACATTTTATCTCAAAATCTACCTATTTCTGTGTTTATTTAAAAAATTTAATTCTTGTTAGAGAAATTTAAAGGAGGATGGATGAGAGCGGCAGTTTTAAGCATTTGCTCAACCTTGGAAAAATCCAAGATTCAGCACTGTTTGGTGCCATGTATATATATAACTAGATTCTATACATATTTATGCTAAGAACTACTGTTAGAATTAAGCACCATGCAATAGCAGCAGTACTCAGTTATTCACATTTTCCCTGTATGGAAGCTAACGTACGCTATGCATTAACACAGTAGCTTGTTTTTTTGCCTGTGTGGTAATGTCAGGCTTTCAGTATCAATACCATCAAATCTTCTTTAATTGAATAAATTCTAAAATAATTGCCTGCAACATTTAAATATGGTTCTGGACCTCTTGAGTCAGTCAGACATTGATTAACCCCTTCGAGCCGGGTAGCGAAAACGCGCGCTTATCGCGGAGGCCGGCAGTGTCTTCCGCGAGCGCCTCTCCAGGGCCAGGGGCTTTTTTGCTACTAAGCCTAAATCCATAAAATTTCCGAAGTATCAATGCATTGTTTAATAATGCTCTATAGAGTATTTAAACGGCTTATGCTTTATAGATATTTTTATATATATACTTTAATTACCTTATTTCTTGTTTAAATGCATATTTTACACATTTTATTTTAATTACTCACCATTTTATGACTTTTAACATTATACATCTGAAAACTAATATATTACTTAAAATTCTCTTTTCGTATGAAAAATTTTAAAACAGGGATCTACACACAGTCCTACGTTACATTCCTTGAACTCGTAATAACTCATTTGCCGTTTTGGAGGATTTTTCTGGGAATGTGAACAAACGAAGCATCGTCGTCTCATTTTCTTATCAGTCTCTTCTGAACAAAGTTTTGGAAAATGTCTTTCAGTTAATCTTTCAGAATCAATATCAGAATATCAGAATTTCAGAATCAATATCTGAAATATTTTGCATCATTTCTGCTATTTCATGCTCTGTTAAACATTTTCGACGCTTCGACATTGAAACGGTAAAAACAGAAAAAACAGAAAGAATTCACGTCTAACAAGATCTAATTATTTTCTAAAAACTGAACTGTAAATGGAAATACTCAACGCTTTAGCGCATATAAAACTTCTACTTACAATAAACAACTACCATGTGCGAATAAAGTGCGATTTAAAGAGACGTTATAAATCACGCCATTCGGAAACATTTAGTTCCCCGTTTGTTTATATAATCAAAAACACGTGTATGTGAGTCATGCTTCTCTCATTTCGAGTAGAAGGTCTAATGTACATGTATCTGAAACCATATGGACATACAGTGCCATCTTGTGGCAGAAATTATAGTTTGAAAAACGTTCCAAGGTACTGGCACAAATACGTGACAGTCGGTAGAGAATGCAACAATGCTCTGGCACGCCTGCGCGTCAGCCGGTAGATAAGTGTGTTCGTTGCTGGCACGTATACGTGACAGTCGGCGCGAAGGGGTTAAAGTTATGTTCTACCAATTCAATGATTTCCTACTTTCTGTTTCCTGAAGTTGAAAAGTACCTAACTGTTATTTTTATCATGCACAAAGGATGTTGAAATTGTTTTTAATATTTTAGCCATCAAGTGCACAACCTTGAGCTATAAATGTTTCCTGCCTATGTTTGTGTTATATTTACAGGACAGTTTGATAGATGAAATAACCGTGCATTTTCTGCTTATTATTTTAGAGTAAGATCAACTGTTGAATTGGAAATATTAGAATGTCGTGCATAGGTTACTGAGGTGGAATTTCAACTTATGTAAGATTAAACAAATTTGGAGAAATATTTTTTCAGAACGTTCAGCCATGTTTTGCCAACCTTTATGCACTCACTATAAGAGCTCTTTCAAAATCAGCTGCCTCCTACACAACTGTGGGTGTAGCAGGCCCTGAAATTAGTTTTGAGTTTATTAATGTTTAGATCACAAAGTGCAGCAGTCATTTTTTTAAATGTAGAGTAAAAATAATGATTTGTGTGATGGGATAGTAGTTAAAAGTAATAAAAATAGTATTTAAAAAAGTTATCAAAGTTTCATTTCTAGAAAGGAGGAATGTAGTTTTAGAGATATCAGAGTTAAGCAAGCTCAGCAGTCAAAGAATGGCATATTGTTTTATAACTAAGATACAGGGATAAGAGTAGCCTTATGCACTGCTAAAAAATTAAAGGACCAGCTATTTTTTAAAAGAATATGAATATTAATTAATTTTTGGAGAAAAATTGCATTTTATGAATCTGTGTAGACTTCTAAATGCAAGTTACTTTAATATTTGGCATAAAAATTATTTTATTCTATTTAAGAAATTAAAATATTATCTCAAGCACTTGTTGAGTTGACAGAATCTTATTTTTAGAAGTAAACACTTAAATTGTTTGTTTGAGGAGTTCATGTGATACTATAAAAAGTATGTATTGTCCCTGAATTGCTAAAATGTCTGAGCATATATTTGACATGAAATTTATCAGGTGGCTGAACATGTTCTGAGAGTTAAACTTTTTCATAAGGACAATCTCTAGCTGTTGCAGTGTCAGAGGAACCTTTGCTTCAGCAGCAACATGTCTTCGTAAAGGATTCCATATATGCTTTACTGGATGCAGGTTGGGTGAGCATACTGCTGGTTCAATGTACTCAGTTTTCTGTTTCAAATTAAAACCTTCCACAAGACAAGCGTATTATTATTAAGCAAGTATTATTGTCCATTAAATGGAATGTATGACCAATGGTTTGGACATATGGCAAGATCTCCTTGTACCTTCTACTACCATATGGCAAGCATCTCCTTGTACCTTCTACTGATTAAACTGCCATTTTTGATGATGTCCATGTTATATGTCTACCTGTATTGATTCCTTTTTAACCATCTATCTCTAGAGTTTCTATGACTGTTCACGTACAAAATTTAAAATTATTTCTTGTGTAACATTCTCTTCGTACGAAGTCAGGACAATCATCTGGTTCCGAAAAGATCTCTTGACTCATTCTGTAAACAGAACTATGCACTAGCTCAACTGTGATTATTTTCATGTGCTCAGTTCCTTTGCATCCTGTGATGTCTAATGGTTAGGAGAACCCAAATTACAGGTTTGTGTGCATACAGATCATACTGATGTTGCAATCTTAAACAGTTTGTGTTGAAGCATTTCATCCTTTAGCCTGGAAAACCACCTATTGCAGATAAGAGGCATTTTGCTTTCTTTTGTGGTAGGGCTGTTAACGGACAAGATAATTTTTGGCTTCTCTTATTGCATGTGGATGGCCTTGATCTGACTTCCTGTGAACATCATTTATAGTTGAATAATAGTTCTGAAGTTGAGAAATTATACTTCAAATCCTGGCAAAGAAATCTGCTACATGCCTTTGTGATTTATCTGTTTTCAGGCATCCTGTTGTTTGCCAAGCCGTCGATTTTAGTAGTTCATAATATTGAGACATTGCTCAAATTCTTTCTGCAAAATGGAATGCTGTCAAACCTAATATTGTGCAATTCAAACATCATAACATGAGATTTTCAAGTCACAGTTAAATTCTTGAATTCCGACTATACATTCTGACTATTCTGACGATGACTGTATATTTGAATGTCACTGATGCATAAGAAATCTGACTTCTTTGTGCATTAGATTAGTATTCAGTAGATTTCAATTGACTTTTGCACGTTACATGAGCATAAGTTTAAAAAATACGGTGATCCTTTGTTTTTTTGAGCAGAGTAAAAGATTAATTTTAACAAGTGAAAAATACAAGTTTTAAAAACATAATTCAAATAAAGTGAGCAGATCTGATACAGCTGAGGTTTGGACATAAAGTATGCGTCTGAAAATAGCATCTAGAAATTAAATAAGAATTAATCAACAACTACGGGTGGAAGTATTACTAACAGTGAGAAAAATATTCTCATTTTAGATGTTAAGGCTGATTGAATAGGCTCTAAAATTTTTAAGCAAAATAAATTATCCATATAGAACTCTAATTCACATATTATTTTCTTAATGTTAAAATAATTTTTCTCTACCTTAATTCGAAATGTTCTTTTTTTAATAAACAAAATATTGGCCATATGGTTTGAATAAGTGAATGTAAATGTTGCATAATTAAAATTTCAGGTAAGTTTTTTTAAAAAAATTTGTTAGTTTATTCACCTTCTTGTTATAACTCGATGCAAAAAAAAAAAAAAAAAAAAAAAAAAAAAAAAAAAATGTGAGAACACTATATAGCGAATTTTATCTCTTAATTAGGTTATTCCAGATTCTGAAGAGCAGGAATGGAATGATGAACATCCTGAAAATTATGCTGGTATTTTTCATTTTCGGTTTTGGTTATTTGATGGCTGGTACGATATTGTTATTGATGATAGACTTCCAACTATTGATGGGCAACTGATATATATCAAATCAAGAGATAAGAATGAATTTTGGGGTGCTCTTTTAGAAAAGGCATATGCTAAGTAAGATTTAGTCTATAAGTATAAATCAGTATTATCTCATTATGTTGAATCTAATTAATATTTATAGTTTGTTAAGCATGTAAAAGTTAAGTTCTAGCATTGCAATTTTATCCTGTTATGTTTTGAGAAGCTCATAATATTGTTTCAGAACTGTATATAGTGTCACTGAAGTACCATAAAATTGTTGTGCAGAAGCAAATTCTGTCTTGTAGAAATCACATTTTATAAAATCTATTTGTAATTTAATCCTGTTGTGTAAAATTCAGTTACAGAATTGAATAAACGTTTGAAATAAATGATTAACTTTATTGAAACGTTTTATTTGACTGTTTTTTTCAAAAATGTAATATTTTTGCATTTTTACTGCTTAGATAAAGTACACAGTTTTATCCCCTCTCCTCCTAAAATGCACAATTAAAGAAAAGATTTTTGCCCCTGTGAGTATAAATATATATGAAAAAATTGTTGGCCATTGAGATAGTGAAAACACACCTGTTAATTTATCCAAAATATTCACTACATGTATGAAAATCCCAAGTTTTGTTTCATATGTTGTGTGATCCCCCTCAGCTGTTTTCAAATAAAATAGAAATATATCATTCTCAGTCGAACATTTCAAGGATATCTGAATTAAAACGGTGAAGAAATTTAAAATTACAAAATCACGTTTTACATTTTGCTTAATTAATGTACTTATGAAAGATGGTAATTAAGTAATCTGAACATTTGTTGCACATTAGTGATTAACCTAAACGTACTATCAAATCAGTATGTACAGGGAGGTGAGAAGCAATTGGAGTAGCTGTAAGCAACTTTCACCCCCTGGTTTGCTGAAACTCACTGGTATTCTGTTTCTTTTGCTCAACCACTTAAACTGCTATTGGTGTATAATTTTCTGTAAATTCCACTGTTTTAAAAATTTAGTAAATACACCATTTCTTAAGTTAATTGGAAATTACTGGCTTCTCTTCTGATTATTGAACTTATTGAATTACTTCCTAAATTTGTCACAGATGAATTTTAGAAGTATTGTAATGTTTTGTAATAGGTTTAAAATGAGCTGCTAAATGGAATAATAGTTCTGAAGAAGTGATTTAAAAGCAGTTAAGTTCGTTATGTGCTACTTAAAGTTGGAAAAGCAGAAATAAAAGTTTCAAAATATTATTTTAATATATTTTATTTAGGGAAATTCTAATGTTTTATTATTTAAAATTATGTTTCTTAAATTATGTTTTCACTTTAAAAATATATCAGGGAATTGCACAAATTCAGCAATGACGCAGAAATTTTTATTGATAAAATTTGAAATTTTGTTTTTTTGTGAAGAACATCTTCATAAAATGCGAGTTTTTGCATTCTCTGCTAATGGTCAAAATGTAATTAAGTTCTGAAAAAATGCAACATTTTGTTTTTCATCAGTGGGCAGATTTCACAATCCCATTACAATTTCTTATAAGGAAAAAAAAGGTACTGGAATGCAATAAAAACAAGCAGTAATAAGAAAAAGTGATCATCAAATTTGAAGGCAGAAATCAGCTCTCATCTGCTGTATGTGAACCCATACCTGGGCTGCCATATAAGTACATTTTGCCAATGCTATGGATTGTGCATTTTTGCAGATAACATATTGCCATGTGAATATTTTTCAGGTAGGTGCATTTAATTATAAAGTACTGTAGTTTTCTTAGATTGTGAAGTTGTGGCAAATGGGGTGTTTTTGTGGTTTTGCCAATGTGTACCATACAATTAAGCCAGCTTACCTTTAAAAATGCTTCATAAAAGCATCACTAATCTTAAGCAGATGGCTGTAGTGTGCTTTGTCATGTAGGTATAAAAAGGGTGCTTTTAATTCTTTTAAGTGAAGTGCAGTGAAAGCTAGGTTGTTGGTAGCTCAGTGTCAGCATTTATCACACAGTTTCATGGGATTCACATTTGCTGCAAGGGGTGATCAAATGTGAAGGTATGAAACGATGTAAAAACGTAACAGTTAAATATTTGCATATTCTGCCATGGGAGAATGTAGCGAGACACCTCGGGATGCGATTGGAGTCTCTGACCGGGATCGGAGCATGCGCGGGCGCCCACATGTGCAGGAGAGAGCAGAGGCTTTTATCAAAAGGGGCTTCCAAATGATGCGGCAGTCTGTATGAGGATAGGATGGCGTTCGCATTGCAGAATTCGACGACTGAGGAGCAGCGAGGTGTTATCCGATTTCTGACAGCGGAAGGTGAAAAACAGGCAGCTATTCATCGCCGGATGGTGACAGTTTACGGGGGAGAAATGTGTCTCTGACAAGTCTGTCAGAAAATGGAGTGCCCGTTTTCGTGCAAGCCGTGAGAGTGTGGGTGGTGACTTGAGACCAGGCCAGGCAAAACACTGTCATCATGAGCGATCTCATCGACAAAGTGGATGACCGAGTGAGAAGTGATTAGCGTATCACATTGCGAATGTTGGCAGTGAAGGTGGATGTCAGTTATGGAAACGTGTGGACAGACAGGTTGCGATATCGGAAGGTGTGTGCTGCTTGGGTTCCGAAGCAGCTCACCAACCAGCAAAAAGAACTGCTTATGGGGCTAGCACTGCAACATCTGTTTCGGTATCAAGAAGACCCCACTTTCATGGAGTGGATCGTTACAGGTAATGAGACCTGGTGCCATCACTGCGAGCCAGAGACAAAGCAGGACAGCATGCAGTGGAAGCATGCGTCACCTCCCCCTAAAATGTTCAAAGCCATGCGATCAGCAGGCAAGGTGTTGCTCACTGTCTTTTTCGATATTCAAGGTCTGCTACTTGTAGAATTCCTCAAGCACAGAAAAACCCTTAACTCCGTCCATGAAACACTCTGGTGCCTACGCAGGTCCATCAAGAGCAAAAGACTGGGGCTGCGGAGGGTGTGGTTCTGCTCCATGATAATGCATGTCCACACGTCTCCAGAGTCACATACATGGAACTGGCCAAGTTCAAGTGGGAGACATTGGACTATCCGCCTTACAGTCCGGACATGTTGCTCTGCAATTTCCATGTGTTTGGTCCATTGAAGAAACACCTGAAAGGGAAGCCCTTCAACTTGGACGATGTACTCAAGGACACTGTGAAGGACTGGCTCTCGTCACGGCCACAGGAATTCTGGGAACAAGGAATCCTGTGGCTTGTTCATCAGTGGGATCGTTGTGCTCAGGCCTATGGTGTATATTTTGAATAAAGTCTACATTTCTACCCACCGTGTCGTTTCATACCTATTCATTTGATCACCCCTTGTACTTAGAAATGTGAAAATTTTTGCACTTGTTCATTTGGCACTTGTTGAAAAGAATGTGAAGAGTACTTCAAATTCTAATCTTTAGGACTGTTTGAGTAACTGGATAAAGTTTTCTTATGTGGAAGGTGGAGTTTATCATCAAGAACACATTTGAAAGATTGTGAGGAATGGCATACAGTTGGAAGAATGGGAGCAGGACAGTTGCTGATACAGATCTATAATGACCTAAAAGTAGGTAAACGCATTTTGTCAGGGATCTGAAAATGGTTAAAGACACTAATAGTGTAAGTAGATAGCCATGTCAAAATTGAAAACATACAAGAGTTTCAGTACTGTTGTTTAGTAACAATTGCTAAAAGAAAAAGACATCTGACTTTTTCGCAGAGGATATTGCAGTGGAGTTGACTGCAGCTGTAGGAACTTGACTATTATTCTGAATGGCTGCACTGACCTTTACATTTTAGGCAGTGCAAGTATGAATGCTGAAATATACAGAGATTAAGTTTTTTACCCTTATGTCAAGTTGTTTTGTTGTGCAATTGGTAGTAACTTCCTTCTAATGCATAATACTTCTTGTCCTCATAACATTGCACTGGTGATTGATTATCATGAGGATAAGAGAATATGGCAGATGAAGTTGCCCATGCATTCTCAGTATTTAAATTTGTGGAACATGTGTGGAATGCACTAGAATGCTGACTTGCATCACTGGAAGCCAACCTAGCACCCTCTAGATATAAATTCTAACTAGTGGAAAAATTGCTGCCCATTTACTTGTCTATTAATGTTTTTCCTTGAGGTAGACTATGTAAACAGCAATGTAAAAATTATTTTTTAAAACTCTATTATTATACTGAACGTTTTCTTTTTTAATGAAACAGTTTCTATTGATGAAATGAAAGTTAAAATTAGGCATTAAATCAACTTAAACATGGTGTTAACTTAAGTGATAATAAAATTCAGTCTTTCAGACACAGGCTCCTCAACTTCAGGAGGAAAAAGAATTTTTGCAAAATGGAGGAAGCGACAACCATATTTATACCAAATGTAATGGACTGAGCAAAGCAACCACAAATGCAGTGCTATCTATCAAGGAAGTGTACGGAAGGAAGAAATAATAATAATAATAAAAAAAACTTTGATAGCTAATCATAGCTGGACATTTCATCACAATTTTGACTTTAGTTCTTCAAAAAATGATTCACAAAGCTTCTTTAGTCAGTGAATTTCATTTCCTTGAAGCTTTGCATGTGTATAAAAATTTCTCGTGTTCGATTAATGATATTAAGTCCACTCCAATTCTTCCTAACACTTTCAGAATTCTAATATCAGAGTTTTCACGTTTCATTACTGTTTTTCTCAATAAATGGTGCTACATTTGTGTTGGCCTTGCTCTGCCCATTGCTTTTGGTATAAAAATGATTGTTGCTTCTCCCATTTGCGAAGATATTTTTGCTCCTGAAGGTGAGGGACTCATGTCTGGTCCACCACAAATTGATACTTTTATTCAAAATCTATAGCAAAGTTTTTTTTTTTGCCTAATTTTAACTGTTTCTCTTGCCTTTTAAATTTGTAACACTTTTGAGATTCAGTAAACTATACAGAATACTTGTTAATGCTGTTGGCACTTTAATATTTATGGACTGAAATTAATAGATTCAGTTACATTAAATGAAATTATCATGTATTTTTATATTACCAAATATACCTTTTAATGTATTACTTAATTAAATTTATTAACAATGTAGCTTGCATTTAGCATATATTGCATTTCTCTTATCCTTTTAATATCTATTTGTTTTAAAACTTTTTTTTTAAACATAGTATATGACAAGAAAATCAGCTTTAATTATCACTATTACAGTACAAAGTCCATAATCCGGACTCGTTGGGACTTCGGTGATTCCGGATTAAGGGTTTTCCGGATTATAGATCATCAATTTAAATCTGGTAAGATGGCATGCAGAAATTATACATTTAAAAATATGAAACCTTAATTTATGAAATAAAGAGCAATTATGATCTAAAGGGTATCAAAATTTACACACACACACACACACACACACACACACACAAAAAAAAAAAAAAAAAAAAGGCTTAATATTTATTTGTTTACTTTATTTAAACATTTCTTTCAATGTAAGTTGTTTAAGTTGCTTCGTTTTATGTGCTAATACTTTCTCTTTGATTCTATAATCAGACATAATTTTTTGTTCAATTACAGAGTTTCACTGTTCAAGTCCTGTAATTGCTGTGTCAAGAATACTGACTAACTTGTCAATCGAAATTTTATCGTTTTCAATAACCTCTCTGTCACTTTCTTCACTATCGCTTAATTTTTATAAGTTTAAGCTTAATTTTTAGAAAATTGCTCTTTTAGTCTGCAAAAAATAATAAGTTGGATCCAATCAGCAGATTAAGAAACAGCGCAATCTGCAACAGTAACTGAAATGCCTTAGAATCAGTAAAGATAATTTTAGCCCAGCTTATACTGTCCGTTATACATTAAATGCGTATGCGTAAATGCTTTACGCACACAAAAGTTTGTGGCTTTGAGGTCTGGATTATACATCATTCCGGATAATGGACGTCCGGATTACGGACTTTGTACTGTAGTATGTAGTTTTTTCTACTGCATGGCTTAGGTGTGCATGCTGCATCCTTACTTTATATTAATTTGAAGTGTTTGGATTAATAATTTTATTTTTTTAATCAATTCAAATTTGTAAGTGCAAAATGAAAATAATAATTTTTAGGAATTAAAATGTTGTTTTAAGTTAAAAGATGCTTTGTTTTAGGGTTGCAGGAGCGTATGAGAATCTTGATGGTGGTAATCTGTGTGATGCTCTTATTGATTTTACTGGTGGAATAGCAGAAACTTTTGAGCTTCAGGAAGAGAAATACTATGAAAATGATGAAAAAAAGATTAGTCTGTTCCGAATGATGCGCTCAGAAAGTGAAAACCATTCCTTACTGAGTTGTGCTATTTCTGCAAGTATCTTATTTTTTATTTTTTTCTCTATTGAATTAATTAATAAATAATTTTTGAATTTGTAATCTGAATTAAATAATGAGGACTGTAATTAAATTTATTAATATTTTAAAACATGCTTTGGAGGCAATCTGAGAGGCTGCTGTCCTTTTACTGTTTTCTCTTTTTGATATTGTTTCTTATTTGAAATATTTGTTGAATGCTGATTTTCTGTGGGTGATTAACTTATCTAGTGCTATTTTATTTGAGATGAGACCAGAAATGTATGTGTAAGGATTATAGTAGAAAGTTGTCTCATGTGCAGTTTAAGCCTGATAGCATTGTATCTATTGGTTAGGCACTTCTGTTAATTGAGCTTTCAAATCAATGAATATTCCAGGCTAAGATGGCACTACTATTATTTTATTTGGTAATGTTTGGAAAGATGTTGCTCTTGAAAGGCTCACAATAAAAGAGACAGGGTTATTCTTCTTATGTCCATTCATTGACTGCAGAATAGAAAGACGATTATATATGTTCTGATTTGATTGAAATGGCAGACATAAGTTCTGACTTTTCAAACAAGTTGTAACTGAAGATAAAATATGGCACTTTTTGCTTTTGGTCCTGAGACAAAATGGCAATTGTTTGCTTAGGTTGAAGAAGCTGCACTATGAGCACAGAAACTTTAGTCTCAGAAATCCTGAGCAAAGGCTTGTTGGTAACTTTTTCAATTAGAAAGAAAGAATTTAAGCCTGAGACAGGGTTCATATGGTCCTTAAGAGTCCTTAGTTTTTTTTGGAATCGATTTTTGGTCCTTAAAAGTCCTTAATTTTGGCCAAAATTGGCTGAAGGTCCTTAATTTTAATCATGTGAAATTTCTGTCTGTTTTTACGACTGCCATTTTGAGTGTGAATTAGCATTTTGGAGGAATATTTTTGGCAATTCACTAACATATATGGATCTTTTGAATGGGTTATAATTTGTTCCTATTACTAATGCAAATGGTAGGATGCTGGAGTTTGTACGAAGTGAATCTTGAGCATTTTGAAATTCATTTTTTCTAATGAAGAGCTCTTAAACGACTTTTCGCTTTTGGCGATGTGAATTCTTTTATTTAATGGTTCTAAATTTGGCGACTTATCAAGATTTTGGCAATTTTAAAATAAGTTTTTGTAGAACACTTTTAATCTTGAGGTCTGGAAATTTTTTGACGATTTTTTAAAACATCGTAACATTGATAAATTTCATTAAAATAATGGTAATATATTGAAATTATATTTGAAAAATAACATTAAAATAAAACACTTTAATTTTTGATGTCATATTATAAAGTTCCATTCTGCCAACTAATTACAGTACAAAGTCCGTAATCCGGACTTGTCGGGACTTCGGTGATTCCAGATTAGGGTTTTTTCCGGATTATAAATCATGAATTTAAATCTGGTAAGATGGCATGCAGAAATTATACAATTAAAAATATGAAACCGTAATTTATGAAATAGAGCAATTATGATCTAAAGGGTATCATATTTACCAAAAAAAAAAAAAAAAAAAAAAAAAAAAAAAAAAAAAAAAAAAAAAGCTTAATATTTAGATTAGAAGAGAAACACGCTAATGTGACAATCAAAATCGTAAAAAACAACCTTATATTTAGCGTAGGTATAATGAAACACTCAATCGATTTCAAGGGCAGCTAAAGGTCCCTCCTCATCAGGAGAAAGAAATACATAGAAAGAAGAAAATAGGAATCACAGAAACACGTGGTGCTTATCAGCACTGCACGTGGTTATAACTAGATTTTTAATCAGAGTTGCACTGGCCGCCTACTTTTACTGAGCCAGGCTGTCTGATCAAGCATAAAGAAAATATTAGCGGAGTTAAAATAGGGAGCGAGGGGCAAAATGCCACATTATGCTCAAAATCTGAACTTCAAATAATGGAAAGCAACCACTGAACAGATTTTTTATACCCTCTGGTAGTACCAAGTTGCGAGGAGGTAAACGCCATCTATCGGCAAAAATAATTGAATTAAGACAGTAGAATTTTAAAGGCATTAGGAAGGACTGGATTGGACTTCAAATCATTAACTAAACTTTCTAAATCTTTGTGAATGTGAAAAGCCTCAAGAAAATCCAATTCGCCTATGGAAGAAGCCTTTTGGATGATTTTTGCAGACCCAAAATCAAAATTATGGTTAAAAGTCCAGCTATGATACGCTATTGAAGACTTGTTAATTTCCCCTTTTCTGACATAAGATTCATGTTCCTTGATACGAAACTTCAATGCTCTTTTTGTTTGGCCAATATATCTTAAACGACATGATGTAAAAATTCATTTATATTTCTGTTAGCTATATATAGTTTCCATGTTTATTGATCAGTTTTGCTTTAGTTTTGGTAAAAATTACTTTTAAATCATGATCTACAATTTTTGATACTGACAGTAGATTTTCACTTAAATTCGGTACTCGCAGAACATTTTCTACTCTCAAGATGTTCTTATTTCTATCAGTTTGCATTTTAATGTTAGCAATACCATTTGATTTCATCATGGCGCCTTTTCAGCTGTCATTATTTGTCATTCTTCATCTTTAAAATAAGTAAATATTTCTTTACTAGTTGCCATGTGAGATGTGTCTCCTGAATCAATAATCCATTTAATTTTTTTATTCTCTTGTTCATCTATTTCATTCTTTCCATCATTTCTGTCTTGAATAAGACATGAGCTTTTGATTTTCTTACATACTTCAGATAAGCATGTTGCTGATTCATATTCTCTTTCCTTGCTTGGCATTTATAAGTTTTATTTGTTAAATTTCTCTGCTTTCGATGTTCTTGTTTGGTTTTCATTTTACATTCAGTTGATTTGTGGCTGAATTTTTCACAGCTAAAGCATTTTATGTTATTATTATTCCAACATCTTTTATTAAATATCTTAATTTTCCACAATTAAAGCATCGTCTTTCATATTTCGAATTTATCAGGTTTTCTTTTGCTTTAGAACATACTTCTATTTCTTTTCCTCTTTGTTTATTTTTTCTTCTGTTTCTTTTAAAGCTTGTCTAATTAAAGCTATATATTTCTCTTTATTGCTTTTAATGATTTTAACATCAAATTCTTTTCTAAGTCCTTCTAGTATGAAGTAAATTAATTCTTTATCTCTTATTTCATCCCCAACGTGAGTAGTTTTACTTTTCAGAATTAGCGCTCTATTCATATAATCATCTACCGATTCATTTTGATTAATTTTCAGTTAATTCTTACTTTTGATTTGAATATCTTCTATACTTGCCACCATTTTATTTTTTATTTTCTCTGATAACTTCTTTGCATTCTTTTCATTTGCATTTTGAATGCTTGTGGAGCTGTTATAGTTTGAATCATTACATTTCGTGCTATCGCATTACGATCATCCCATATTTCCCTAGTTTTTATTTCACTTTTGAAATTAACATCATCCCTTTTATATGGTTGTTTTATTTCATTAGCTTCTATCACACTTCTCCAATTTTTGAAACTTCTTAATTTACTTTTGATTCTATTTGCCTATATAAGGTAATTATCATCAGTTAATTTTTCTATGTGAGTAAAATTTATCATAGTATATGCCATATTTGCTAATTTATATTTACTAATTATAAGTCAAATTTATCTCGGAGAAATTAGCGATGTTGTTAAGCCTAAACAACATCAATGTTCCATATGAAAGTTCATTAGCAGAGGGGACAACCACACTCTCTGCTACCAAATGTTGGTTTGAAGTAGGCATATAAATTATATTCTCTAGGAATTATCTACTTCTAATATAAAACACATTATTGTAACATATAAAAAGAAAACTTTATTAAATAGGATTAATCATAACAAGCCTTACCATATTCCACAAAACCATAATCATCTCTTTAGATGCCAGATACATTTTTAACTCAATTCTTTTACAATTTAAGAAAATATCAATGTTGCCAAAATATTAAAACTTAAAATTATATTTTATAAACCAGTACTATCAACATGTAATTGATGTATTTTGCAGAAAGTTTGCAAAGAATTTCTTACATTTTGGAGAAGGTCTGGAAGAACAATGAAAACATAATATTTGAATGTTTTACTTCTGATACTAGAATCTTTTTCTTAACATGTTTATCTTCCCTTTATTTTCTCTATATTTCTCTAGACACAAGCATGGAAAATATCAAATGCTTCTAATCTTATCACATGGACAGGCGTTATAGAAATGAATTTTTATTAATAAAGGAATTGAAAGCTGACAATTTAAAAGATTCATCTAAGCCTTAATGCATTCATACACAGAGCTGGCGCTGGGCATTTTCTCACTTGATGCAATATCTCTGTGGATTCTAAATTCTGCTGCCTAAAGCCTTCCTAAAATGTGCTTCCAGTGCCTGCTCTAAATTCTAAAATTTATGACATTTCAAATTTTGTTGCTCGGTATGTTACTAAATTCTAAAAATTCTGCTACACCAGCTTTATAACCAGCCCTTACCATATATATTTCATAATTCTTCTGAATGTTCATATTGCTAAAGAAATAATATTAGCAGCTTTTCTATATGTTCTATGTGAATTTTCAAATAACAGAAATCCTTAATTAAAACCAAAAATTCTAAAATGAAAAGGCAGTGTGTTGAAGAAAGAAACTGAATACGCAAACAAAATTATTCTTCAAAGATATGTACAGTTATTATTATGTAAATTACCCAGTTGTTTATGATTTCACCCTTTTCTATAATTTCCCATTTGTGTTTCTTCATATGATAGAGTTACTGAGCCAGCATAAATTAAAATTGAATTGTATACTCTTTGACTACTAGTCCACATTTTTAGTTTGATTTTGAATGTTCTTGTTTAATTACATCACCACGAGCTGTAATTGATTTTGTTAGCATCAGAACATGCCTTTATGTTTTAAGTTCTTTTTAAATAAGAGCCTTATTTAAAACTTTGACATTGTAGTTACTTTCAGACATAGCGATAATTTGCTTCATGGCTATTATCAT